CTGAAGGCAGCCAGGACCAGCCAAGGCTAAGCTCCAGCCACAACACAGGCTGATGGCCAGGTGCTGCCCCACCAGCCCTGCTGCACCTCCACGTGGGTGTGATGCTGTGCCCCCATGCCCACACATGGCAGCACCGAAACACTGTGACAGAAGAAGGAGGAAAGAAAAAAGCCTGCAGCTGCCTTTGATATGCATCTGTCTCATCCAGGACTATTAGTAATAAATTCTCAGAGTACAGACAGCTTTCCAGAGCCAGCGTTCAAAGGCAAGAAAGAAGGCCAAAATAATTTTGTTTACTTTTAAATAAAACAGATCCCTCACAAAAATGCTATTCAGGGAACTTTAATATTATCTTTTGGAGAAGTCTATGTAGTGCTGCAAAAAACGGTCTCTGTTTTTCCTGAAAATACGGTTGTCATAATGCAATGAGTTCTAAATCCTGTGTCCAAAAGTATGTCCCCTGTAACAATCCACATTACACCTACATATAAATGTATTTATATCTAGATCAACTGAGCTTTTGCCCTTCTGCTCCACGGGAGGTTTCTGGCCTCCCTGAGCTCGCAAGTTTCTCAGCAAGGTTGCTGATGACACCAAGCTGAGTGGTGCGGTGACACGGTGGAAGGAAGGGATGCCATTCAGAGGGACCTCAACAGACTTGAAAGATGGGCCTGGGTGAACCTAATGAGGTTCAACACAGCAAAGTGCAAGGTTTTGCGCTTGGGCTGGAGGAATCCCAGGCATCCATACAGACTGGAAGGAGCAGTCCTTGAGAGCAGCCTTGCAGAGAAGGACCTGGGGGTCCTGATGGATGAAAAACTTAACAAGAGCCAGCAGTGTGCCCTTGCGGCTCGGAAAGCAAATGGTATCCTGGGCTCCATCAGAAGAGGGGTGGCCAGCAGGGACAGAGAGGTGACTGTTCCTCTCTACTCTGCTCTTGCGAGGCCCCATCTAGACTACTGTGTTCAGGTCTGGAGCCCCCAGTGCAAGAAAGACAGAGCTGTTGGAGAGGGTCGAGAGGAGAGCCACAAAGATGATCAGGGGACTGGAGCACCTCCCCTACGAAGACAAGCTGAGGGAGCTGGGCTTGATCAGCCTGGAGAAAAGAAGGCTGCAGGGTGACCTCATTGCACCTTTCCAGTACCTAAAGGGAGCCTACAAACAGGAGGGGAGTTGACTCTTTGAAAGGGTAGATAACTGCAGGACAAGGGGAAATGGTTTTAAGTTGAAGGAGGGAAGATTTAGGTTGGATGTCAAGGGGAAGTTATTTACAGAGAGAGTGGTGAGGTGCTGGAACAGGCTGCTCAGAGAGGTTGTGGATGCCCCCATCCCTAGAGGTGTTCAAGGCCAGATTGGATGGGGCCCTGGGCAGCCTGGTCTGGTATTAAATGGGAAGGTTGGTGGCCCTGCATATGGCAGGGGGGTTGGAGATTCATGATCCTTGAGGTCCTTTCCAACCCTGGCCATTCTGTGATTCTGTGGTATCTACATATCAGTATAAGAAAACTGCACATCACTGCAACATCACCCTGCTCCAGGCAGAGTGCTAGCTCATGATTGCTGTTGCAAACACCTGTTTTGACATTACAGGGCTAGGGGACTTCAGGTTTTAAAAAGCAAAGCTGTACTGCCTGCGGAGAAAAGACTACAGATAATTACATACAGGAGGGCTGGGGAAAAGTGGGTGACATGAACAAAGAGCACATCTTGAGGAGCTTTGAAAGCTAGTGCAGCTTACTGAGATCAATGGCATGTCATCCCAGAGGAGTGCTGAAAAAGCCTTTGTAGTTCTGCCCCCCTTCTGTCTGTCTGCACTTTGTATTTCTAAGCAGGCAGCACGCAGACTGTGCGTGCCTTTAAGCACACGTAGCATCCATGTAACACAGCATCAGAGGTGGCATACAAATGAAGTACTGTGCAAAGATAGGTGGTGCAAAGCAATGCTTACTTAGATCAGAAGCTAAGGAATTGGTTTTATGATCTGATCAATAAGATGTCCATCTAGCAGACATTAAGATGGTCCCAGTCCGTAGAAAGCAGCATGTTTTTGTTCAGAATAAAGCACCTCAGAGATACAGCAGTGGGAAGTACTGTAAATAAAGATTTAAAAAAATGACTCCCCAAGAACAATAAAGACTAGTAAAAAATAAATAATGCTATATCTGAAAGAGGTTTAAACTGGCTTTCAGAAAATAGCATGGCACATGAAACACAGACATTAGCCTCTCAAAAGAGAGCTTGCTACACGAGGCAGCACAGAAACAGAGCGGGGAAAATTTTCAAAGCAGCTGAATCTATAAAAAGGTAAATATCATTACAAGGAAAGGTTGAAGACAAGAAAAGGGAAAAAGAAAAGAATCCTTTCCTCCTACTAGCTCAGGATAGTGATGTTTGTAGGACTCAGTTTGATATTTCAATAAATAATTATGTTTTTTCCAATGAAACAACCAGCTAGACATGGCAAACTGTAATTAACACCAAGAAGCACGATACTGTTTGGCATGCTCACACCTTGTTTCTGAACAGGAGGATGCAAGAGCTCCTTACAAGCTATTCAAAGAAACTTACAATTATAATTATATGCTAGTGTGATTAGCTCCTCTAATAATGTCATGCCTATTGAGCACGCCCTATTGAGAAGCCCACATTAAAAAATACACTGTTCCACTGATCTGTATGCTTATGTCAGAAACCCTTATTTGAATATCCAAGAAATGAAAGAAACATTACTATGGAAATCGAGAAATTCAGTTTAGCACTGTAAAATAATATTATGATTGAATAATATTAGCACTAACTATAAATAAATGGGCCAGCATTTCCCGTTATAAAACACCATATGCAATTGCCTGTAGCTATGCCAAAAATTTTAAGCTGTGAAGGTGATCCCTGTGTTAAAAATTTATCCAAAGCTTTGGTGACTTGCAACAAAACTTTGACTTCAGGCAACAAATACACGCTTTTGACCGTGTACAAAGGATCAAGACAGCATGATAAACTCATTGCAGAAGGGCTCTGGCTTACGCTCACACTCAAGTGAACAAGAAGGAATACAAAAAATCCCAGCACTCAATCAGTGAGTTTTGAGCTGGATAAGCAGCTGAATATCATGTATGACTAACAGAATGTGATTTGCAGTCCTCAAACAGATTTGACATAACCAATCTGACAGACATACCCTTGCGTAACCCAGGTAAATACATTTTAATTTTGTCCTAAATTATGTTCATGTACGGAATATTAGAAAGAATTCATTTGCTTAAAATTTCATCTGAAGAATAATAAGATCACAGAACAATTTGCATACACATGCAAATTATTAAATAGGTGCTAACTATTTTTATTATTAATAATAGTCTTTAAAATAGAAACTCTCTTTTCTTAATCTTTATTGCAGGAAACAAAGATAAGATCTCTATGTAAAATAAGCCACAAAATTACTCTCAGCCCAATTGTGTTGGTAACTGGCCATTCTTCATTTTAATTCAGAAGTAATGAAGGATATAATTTATGAGATGAAGATGCCTGCTATCTTAGACCAATTAATCCATGTCCTTTATGGTGTATTCTTAAGAGTTAAATAGAGTGGTGTGATTCCTGGGGACCCATGAGCATACGTGCACAGGTAGCTCAGAGGTGAGCAGCACCTGCCTGTACAATGCTAGTGAGAATCCCCTGAAAGTGCTTAAGTCTGTTATAAGCTAACAGAAATGTGTGCCACTCGCCATTTGAATGCTCGCATCACTGAGCCATTTTTATAGCTGATCACAGCATCTCCACCAGCTTGGATGAGTTTTCAGACAAGTCAGACCAAAGCGACCAAATTTTCTGCCGTTCAGGCTTCCTTCTCCTTCCAAACCCCCTTGTGCCTCACCTCACCAGCACTACCTCCAGATGTACTATTTATTATTACTTCTGTAGTCAAAAAACCAATTTACTACCCACATTTGGAAGATGCCCTCAGGACTGCAAAAACCTTTAGACAAAGCATGGAGGGATATATAATGCTGTATCGGGAAAAAAAGACATTAATGGCCATAATGCAAGGCATTACCATTCTCTTCATCTCCTTGGAGACCTGGTGAGCTCCGAGGTGGTTGTAAAAGGGCCGGTCGACACCCCAGTGCGGCGGGTTGTGGCTGATGGAGTTGGTGCGCTGCCGGTTCATCTTGGCTATCGTGGCTTTCTCATCTTTCTGAAAGACAAGCGAGGGAGAAACGTGTGAATAGCCAACACCTTTTTCAGTAGGCACACGCATGGCATTTTCCACACTTGAAGGAAGAGAACAGCTTCCCAGACACGGCAAGCATATAAATCTTACAATCAACTGAACTGCGTAGCTGCTAAGGGCAACAGGACAAAAAAAATGGTCTCCTCTGCCCTAATGCTAGCTGCAAATATTGCCATTGGCAGCAACTTCCCTGAAGTTTGGACAAGGTCTTTGTGTTTGCTACCAGAGATGGTTTTGAATCTTGGCTGTACTGGAAGCTTACTGCAAATCTTGTACACTGCAGGTCTGAAAGGTTTCCTTAAAGCTCAATACCAACTGCAAGAGCATGGAACTGCAGTGATTATCTTACCTTACCTAAAGACAAACTCTTTAGGGCTTGGATAACAAATAGCTAAAACCTGCCTATCACTTGGGAGAGAAAACCTATTTCAAGAGAATTGCTGCTTACATGCGTTTATGAAAACAATTAGATGAAATTGTTAATTTTGGGTTGCAGACAGTATTCAGGCATCTGGACATTAAAAAAAAAGAACCAGTTGTTTTAAACTTAGAATTTTTGTTTGTCCTGAATGACAACGTTGGTCAGCATCTGTTTTTGCCTGGAATCCACTTTACTTATCTGTTTATTTTGATTCATTGCTACTGACTGTAACTTGTACCTGTCAAGAGTTTGCAAAATACCTGGTGTTATTTCCATGGAAACCAGAGAGTTAAATGTCAAATGTTATGCTGCCTTAAATTCCTTTTCTTTTTTTTTTTTTCCCTAAAGGAAAGTGAAAAGAATGTTTAAACTCAGTGCTGGGGAAAACCATCCGATGGCTCAAGTATGGGAAATCACCACCTCTTTTCTTGCAAAGAAGAGACAACTCCTACGACAACATTTCCCATGAGACTGCATGCTCACCATGAGGGCACCAAGGGTTTGGGGCAGGTGGCCCTGCAGGCTTGTCCCAAAGGAAACACCAGCTTCACCAATGGGACGTGTGCTCCCACACCTCCTGCCACCACAGCTGCAGCTGCCTCCATCCCCATGTCGGACCCACCGCCGCCTCAGCTGCGAGCGCTGGAAACTCCACCGCTTGGCACCAGGGAACTTCACGTGAGCAATCCTGACAGGGCCACTGGATCACCTCCAGGGGAGCAGCACTTTAAGGGCTAAAAATACACGAGCATGATGCAACGCCGATGTGCAGATTTGAGCTGGTTTGAGGTTTTGGTTTTTAAAAGTCATCGCACTTTGCAGTGCTTGCAATCATTTGCAGCACTTTTTGTGGTTTCTTTTTTCATGTATGGATTTTTTTCACAATTATGCTTCTTGTTTTATACAGCGTGATGCCAGAAAACTGGTAGAAAATGTAGTTCCATTTTCTATAAGCAGATATACATTGTTGTCACTAATAAAAGTGACACTGTCAATCTATTTTATTGCAGTTTAGTGAAGGGTTTTCAACCTGAAGCAATCAAAAACTAGGCTGGGGACCTATAAAGCAAAGCTCCTTGGCTTACATTGCAAATAGTTGTACATCAACAGATGATAAAAAGATACATGGAGCAGTTTTTCCCCACAACTTGGTCAATTTGCTTAAAATTTGAGAAAAGCCTTAAAGTCCCAAAATGCAATCAGATGTGCTAAGCCCTATCAGCCAGGGAGTGATCCTCCCACCTGCTTCCAGTGCAGAATGACTCTGCAGTGCTACTTTTACTTCATGCCAATCACCTGATTAATGTGAAGGGAGTAAAGACCTCATACATGTATACAGGCACATCTGCATTGAGGTAAGGTTGGGACAAATGAGTAAATACATACTTCTGAGAGAGGTCAGGCATCATAAATTATCCATGGCCACGTGCACTCTGTGGGGGTATTTCCCCACCCCTTTTAGAAGGTTTATGTTGGATTGTGAGCTGTGTTTCAGCAATATTTCCAATCACATTAAAGCACATATATAAATAAATTGTGGATTTTCTGTTTTCCAACGTTACATGCTGTGCTACTCTGTTATCTTGGACAGTAGGACTTTGCTGTTAACATAAATACTTACTCAAAAAGCATTTATTCAAACTCTACATTTTTTAAAGTAGAGGTAATTTATTTTCTGAAAAGTAGCATATTCAGTGGCTGATGAGAATAACAAGGTCTAAAAATGAAGAACAAGCAGGATCACAACTTTGGTTTGGAAATTTATGAGGATCCCTACACTGTTCCCTCCTGCCTATTGGCAGTATGAGAATACCTTGCACACAGTGCTCCCTAAGGCATAACGAAGCAGGAAGGAAGAATAAAAAGAAGGAACAGAAGACACCTTTTAGTCTTACTCATCACAAGTACTACCAATAACAGGAGCAGGTGCAAAGGTTTCTGACAGCAATGTGTTTTTCAGATTTGAAGTGGCTGCACTTCAGAAGATGTGGGAACTTTTCAAATCTGAACTCACGAGGAGCCTGTAAAATTGTATTCCCAGAGGTTTTGTTCCGTTCCCACCACCAGTTCCCACACACTAAGCTACAGTAATACTATAGCAGAACTGCAGAAGTAGCTGGGATTTTCTTACAATTATCAATTGCATTAAGCATGCCTGTTACTTCTTTAGCGTATGATTAGATTTTCCAAATTATGCAATCACTATCAGTACAACAAAACAGTGATGCTGAGAAGGGATCAAGCATTTCTCATTCAGCTACCTATTCTGCCTTAAACTGTCTTGAAATCCTACTGGTATGAATGGTGTTTCTTGCAGCAATACATGGTCTAAACACTGCGTTCATAAATCTGGGGAGTAGAACCCCACAGAGTCGTGATTAAATTTGTTAAATTGGGGCATCAACATGTTAGACTGATGGTGTTTTAGAAGAGTCACATGCTCAGCATTTAAATGACCATTCTGTTTCTTCAGCTGGATGCAGTTCCAGGACACTATTTGAAAAAGAATGGGAATTGTTTTTCTAGGAGTTACAGCCAAAGTTTTGTTGAGCTGTTTCAAGGCCATCATCAACAATTCTTTCTGAAACTGTTGTGTACCTGCTATTGTTAAAAGAAACGCCCATATTTACTGTGACTGAAAGGCCTTAGAAATAAATAAACATTTTTTCAGTTGGCTGCCTTTGAGCACCCAGCGCAGTGTTTAGTCAGCGGTATTGCTCATCTGTTGACAGTCACGTTTGGTTTCCACCTGTGTTCAAAGCAAAGCATTTCCCCAGTCTTCTGGCATTTTTGAGGGCTATAAAACTAACCATGATCCTAATGTGCTGTTAAAATCTTATTCATCTTAAATTCAGACCCAGTTCCCACTCTACCAAACACATACTTCTGCACCCTTCTGAGAGTAAAGACTGTACCAGTGACTAGAATTGATGTGCTGGTTCTGCAGATCAACTAGAGTGGCACCTGTCCTCAAAGAAAAACAAAATTTGGCCATAACCACTAAGTGATGTGCTCCTACCCAAATGCCAGAAGCTCAGGCAAAATAAGGACTTGGGATCACAGAATCATTAAGGTTGGAAAAGAACACTAAAATCATCCAGTCCAACTGCCAGCCCATCACCACCCTGCCCACTAAACTCTCACTACTGGATACTGCTATAATTAAATTCAATACTCTAAGAATAGCAGGGATGTGCTGGAATAGCAGTAATGACCAGGACAGAGGTTTTGAATAAAAGGAAGGCAGATATAAAAGCCAAAAGCTGAGGTACAGAGCCATGTGGTAGGAGTGCCACAGTCTGCACAGTAAATCTAGAAGTATAACATGAATAAACCAAAATCATTCTGCTGAAGGATGAAGAAGTCATACTGGGTAATGCTAGGCAGTTCGTTACAATGCCTTGGGGCTAAGTTTGAGAACCAGTAATGATCTGCATAACAGTGTTAGCAACTTTAACTGATAATTCTCTGTTTATCTGGAAACAGTGGTTTTTCAGATAGAGAATGAAGAAGCAAAGCCAGTAATAGAGGAAGGGTAATGAGATTTCCTGTATTTATTTCATGCAAAGGTATGAAGTTCAAAAGAAATATATATTCAAACAAGTATGAAAAGAATAGTGAATTAGGGTAGAACTCACCCTATATAAATTACCCTATGTAACCCCAGGGAAACAGATATTAAAAAATCTACATCATTCCAGAACCAAAGGAACAAACTGTTTCTCTTTTCAGATAATCAGTGCTGCCGCAGTCGAGGCAAAAAGGAACAGGGATCATAAGGGTAGGGTTGTAAACAGAAAACATGACAGAAATTGGAAGCAAAACTTAAAATGTAATGTGCTGAATGCAGATGGACGACCTCCATCCCAGATCTCTGCAAAACTGCCAAATTCAATTTCAGTTCTGGTAAGAGATACTTTTAATAACTATTTAGTCAGGGATCATGACACTGAACTGTAGAGCAGTGAATGCTGGCTTGGATTAACAGCCATGAGAGCATCCAAGCTTTTCTAAATAGAAAAAATACATTAACTGTCCCTGAACTTGTTTTTTTTTCCACAGAGCATTTGAGAGAGAGCTGTGCTGGGGACTGAGGATAAGGCTGTGGGGGAACTAGAAGCTGGGAGAAGAGCTGGCTTATGGCGAAAAAGCAAGAGATGACTTTGAGGGAAGATAAATTAGTCTGGATGAAATTCACTGAGAGAGTTGCTCAGTGATTAGTCTTGGGGCATATTTAAAAAATATTTTCCTTACCAAATCAGGCAGCAAGTGCAGCACTGTTGGACTTTGTAAAGAGAAGTGGTGAAAATATTTGACTGATAAGGGAAAAAGATATCAGACAGCACTGGACATTTGAGAGCTGACATAGCAGAAATGGGATATTCCAATCTACAAAACTCAGAATCATTCCTTTAGAGATTACAGTAAAAAATGTCACTTCATTATCAGGAATTACATCCATCCATCACAGAACAACTATGAGACTCAGAGGTAACACAGCTGTGCAAGAGCTAATGGCTTTCTTTGCTGATTGGGAAAACTGAGTTTGTTATGAGAACCTGGGATTCTCTTCTTCATTGCAAGAAAAAAATAGAATAGTTTGTCTTGGGATTGAAAAGGTTGAGAGGGACAGAGAATTGCGTGCAAGAATTGTGTGATGTATGCATACTGTCCCAAGTAGCACTGAGGTAGATTTGATGGCTCAAGAAATTCTTTCTAGTTACATTTTTCTGTCTACATTATAGCTTATATCTATCTTTGCATTCCTTACATAGTTTAATAAACTGTGCCTTTCTTACATACATTAAGAAACTGGTCTCCATGTGGAGTCCAGCGGCGAGTGGTGTTCTTCAGGGGTCAAAAAATAAATTGGAAACAGCAATCAAAACCTTTTATCTGCTCAAGTCACTCCTGCTTTGGGCTATCCAAGAAGCAGTTCTGACACACCGCTTTTTTTTCACAGGGAAGTGTTTATCCACAAGAGCATCAATAGCACAGGACAGTGCAAACAGAAAGGTGAAAGCAGATCGTATTGATGAGGAAAGAGAAACCTAAGCAGACAGTATTCCTAAGGTTTTGCAGTTTATTCTTTCAGTAGAAATCAATTCTTGTGCACATCAGAAGGAAAACAAGCACTACACTTTCAGCTATAGAAAAAAAGTTGAAGTAATTAAAATCTAGCCATATTTTTTTTTTCTCCAAAACAACTAAATATATTCCAGTTAACAGCATTCTTAAGAAAAAAAAAAAAAAAAAAGCTATTTTCAAAGAAGGAATTCTGATTCCTGGAACAAAAAATACTGCATAAATGTTTCTCCTGTTTACCCTGTGCCAAAGAAATAGCATTAACATAATGAATTAATTTAATGGCTGAAAACGTAAAGTAAACAATAAAAGACAGGAAGTTTAAAGTTATGACTCCCCATGGCAACAGTATGCAGAAAAGGTCTGACAGTAAATGCTGACATGACATGCATTCACTGGAACTCGTGAGGTTGTTGGGTTTGGATGTCCATGGGACAGATGGACAAGGTATTCAGGCAATTCCAGGGGGCCTGTGTGAGCTGGGGTATAGCTCAGGCAGCTAAGTGAGTCACCTATGCATCTACTCTTGACACAAAATAAAGCATCCTCACTGTTAGATCCTCTAGAACAAACCTTTAATTAAACTGCATTTCTTTTTTCCCCCCTCTCCCCCCCTTCTTTTTTTTATATTCTTTGATTCATTTCTTAACATATATATTAATAATTGTGTGGATTCATTTAGCTTTTCAATGGAGTTTCTCACAACACAGAAGAGACAGAATTAGGAAATTAAATTTGATGATCTATATGCAAAAAAACAAAAAACCCCCCAAAAAACAAAAAAACTGCCCCATGCATTGCTGCCTTAAGATATTAATATCCATCTAAACTCAATAACAGTATTTTCCCAATCATATCAGAATGCGCAGGTGTGAGAGATGTTCAGAATTTAGGCTCAATCAAACCCAGAGACCAATCATGAGAAGTACCAATGTTTCAGAAAGACTCAGCGTTTAAGCGGAAAGAAGTCTCGCAATGCCAATTGCAGCTAAGTAGTTTGTGCTTTCTGAAAGGACATCAGAATTGTGAGGTATGGTGCAGATGTACCTGATCACACCTGAAGTAACAGCAGGGTTTTAATATGGAGCCTTCAAGCATGAACTTGCACTGCTTGAACTAATAATATCATTTCAAGGTTAAGAGCAAACTCATCTACTACACATGGACAAGAGCTTTCACTCTGCAAGAAGTTGTTATGAAGGGAAGGCAACTGGCAGCCTGATCAAAGCATATGTTAGAACATCTTCATCACCTTGCAGAAACCAGAATCCAAGGGACAATATTGCAGTATCCATCAAAAAACATTCTTAGCAAAACCTGACATAAGTTACACCCTGGAAGGGACAAGATTTTAAACAGGTATTCTTCTTCATCTAGTGGCATAACCAGCAGA